AACACTCGCGCGGTCCTCTCGAATTTCGACAGTCAGAGCATCTGCTATTTATACGAGTACTTGTTGCACTAGGAGGGTCTAAGCTCTTAGGCTCATACCTTAATGGTTTAAGTTGGCATTTGAATGTGAACCACGACGGTCCGCGTAAAGATGCGTTTGTGTATCAGTTAGACTCCTATTACCGGGAAGAAGAAAGACGACCAGATAGAGGATGGTGGTGATGATAGTAATGTTACGAAAAATGAATGCTTAGCTATTCATCGCGCAAGTATGGAGAAGCTATGCTCATTTTATTTGGTCTGGGATGGTGAGTAACACACCTATATAATATCAGGTCCTTTCTTCTGCATGTAGTCTTCCTTTTTTTTTCAATTACCCCCCGTCTATTCTACGATCAACCTTTTAATCTACCAGTTTATTCCGATTTTCAATAGTGGCCCGGAAAATGCAAACAAGAGATCAACTCTTGGTCTCATTTTGATTTTCTATCACATCCTCCTCCTCCTTCTCATCATCATCATCATCGTCATCATCATCAGCATCAAGGGTCTCTTCTTCTTCCCTCTCTTTTTTAAATTTGCTCCCTTCCTCCCATTTCGTTCTGTTTTTCTCTTTCTGCAGCAGCATGTTCTTACTTTTTTTCTTTACGTCATGCAATCCTTCTTCTGCTATATCATCATCATCATCATCATCATCATCATCATCGTAATCATCACCTTCTTCTTCTTCTTCTTCTTCTTCTTCTTCTTCTTCCTCCTCATCTTCTTCTTCTTAGTCTTATCTACACCAGTCTCTGGTGCCGATGTATCTTATTCCCCTTGGTTGCCACTCCAATCACGAATCTCTCCTTCTCTCTACTGTTTTAATTGGTCTGACAGGTCTAATTAAGGTGCTTGTGCTGTCATTCGCTTTCATGATTCAGATTTCCCTTACCCGACTCTATCCATTTCACCTTGTAGCGGTCCGGAGAACATGCATACCGCAGCAACCCTGGGTGGCGATATCACCTTCCTCACGAACGTGGGTTCCTCAGGCGGTGGCAGACAGGTATCCCCTCTGTTTGCCAACTCTACCGCTGCCGCAGCCGCCTCTTTCGCCTCATCTCCTCCAAACGCCTCCGCTTGGTACGGAGCTGCCAGTGCAGTTTCGCAAGATCCGCGCCTCAGCGGTGGGTACAACGA